CCCTTTGCAGTGGTGTTAATGGGAGAAATCCTTGTGCTGGGGATGTGTGGCAGGATGAACCAGACCCACGCTCCTGCCAGAGCTGTTTGGCCAGACAGCCTCAGTGGGGGTTAGTGTGAATTAAAATCTGTTGGCAAAACACTGGTCTCTGAATTGAGTTATCTGAGAGCATCTGTTCACTTCACGCTTCAAGCTGAAAGGAAAAGACAGTAGAGCAGCTCCAAAGTATCACTGCAGAGTAATATTTTATGGGGAGACAGGGCTTTATTTGGACTGTAGCTCAGTTCAGGGTATGTTCATTAGCATGGTGCTCAAGATAAATTGCAAGTCAGGCAGCAGCATCCCTGGGTGTGAACGTGCACTTGACAGACAGTAGGAGAAATGCTTCATGTTTGATGGGATAATGGCCTTTCCTTGTCTGCTGTGAGCTTGGGACAAGGAAATGGATGAACCTTCAAGCTCAGAGCCCTGCTTGGGGCCCTGCTGATGGATGCTCCTTCTGCAAATCACGTGTGGCTTTTGTCGTGGTTTATGTTTTTAGATGTGCCAAAGGACGAGCAGTTTCAGGCTGTCCAGGCTGCTATTCTCCTCCTCCCAAAGGAAAACAGAGAAGCTTTGAAAATTCTCCTGTTCTTCCTGCGAGATGTGGTGGCTTTTGTTGAGGAAAACCAGATGACCCCAACCAACATCGCTGTCTGTCTGGCTCCTTCTTTGTTTCACCTCAACACCCTGAGGCGGGACAGTTCCTCCTCCTCATCCAGGTATTGGCACCTTGATGCTGCTGTCCACAGTGCTCTTACTGGAGCAATGCTTTCTGTAGCTGGCCTAGGCTCAGAGTGTGATTTTGGGGGGGAAATAGACTCTGTGTGCCTTGGGGTTTACCTTAAATCTGGTAGCTCAGGTGCAGCAGGAGTTGCCTGCAGGGCGTGGAGCGATGTGGCCGCTCACTGCCCAGTGCAGAGCCGTGGTAAGGCCCCATTGCCGTGCTCCTGACCAGTCTGTGTGGGTCCCTCACCACTGCTGCACTCCCCTGCTTGCCCAGGAGCCCAGCATGTGGCCACTGCTAGCATTAAAGGGGCACTGGCCATTGGAAATGTGTTCCTGCACTGGCCACCTGAGCCCAGGTGTGGCCTTAAGGCCCTGCAGATACCTGGCAGATTGAGGCAGCTACTGGCACTGGTTCTGCTGGGTGATAAGGGGATCATTCCTGCCAAATCGAGCCATGGGGATTCTGTAAATTTATCTTAATAAGTAAAAGTATCTGGGTTGCATAACATCCCCTGTTTGTACGTGCAGTGAGGAAGGTGCCCTTGGGCCAAAGTAGACAAATAATCTCTGAGAGCACTCATGCCTTATCTGGCCTCCTGAGGCAGGGCTGTTTGCTCTGCTCGTGCTCCTGGGCTGTGGACAGACAGATCAGGACAGGAGAGCACAGCTGGCTGTGCAGCAAGCATGGTGCTCCTGAGGCGTAGCGAGCTGAACATCTCGCTTGGGGATCTACAGGAGAGGACTAGTCCCAAAGCAGAGGCTGTCAGATGTGCTGTTGGCATCTTTCAGGCTCTGGGTAGCACAGGGGAAGGGAAGGAAAACACTGAGGATTTTCTTTTGAATGTCACAAAACATCAGAAAATGCCTCGGGCATGCCTGTGCTGAGCTGGCACACGGCAAGGGAGCCACGGGGCCACTGCGGGTGGATGGAGGCAGCAGGTCCTGCTGGATTGCTGTGCTGTTTGAGCTCCTAGGAGCTACACTCTGGGACTTGTTCCTCTTTGCTTCACATCAGCGCTGCTCTGAAATGTTAGGACCAAAGATAGCAATGGAGTTTTCTCTTTGTTGTCAGTGTGTAGAAGCCAGGATGCTTTGAAGCTTTAGTTCTGCTGTAAGTGTGCATTAATGCCTTGGTGCAGGGTTCCCACTTCAAAGGGTTCAAGCTGACAGGTCTGACTCTGAGGAGCAGCACTGAGGACTGTTATCTTCCACCCAATTTTCAAGCCATTTGGCAGGAATGTACATAGATAAAAGTTTCAGAAGCCAAGACTAATGATGTAATACCACTAGCATGAATTAAAAGAGGGGACTGTTTTTGAAATGTGTTGGGTGTGGTTTGGGCCAAAAGATTTAAAAGGTTCTACATGGGCTTTGCAGGTATCAAAGAAGCTTGATACTGAAGATTATACGAAAATAAGCGTGGGTCGTTGTTCTTAGCCAAGTGTATGATGATGTGTTTGGGGAATAAATTCCTTGACTTTCCTTTCTTGGGTGTCCATTACTAATGGTCAGTAGTGCCCTGGACACCTTTGGGATGTGCTGGGAGGGAATTGACCTTCAATAGTCACATTGCATGAGTCCTACATGGCATGTGCAGGTCCTTCAGTGCAGAGTGTTTTGTGTGGTTCCCAGCACTTTGCTCGCTCAGCCTTCCTCTCACCTTCCCCTGTCCTAGATCCAGTCAGAGGAAGTGCAGCTTGGGGAAGCCAGACCAGAGGGAGCTGAACGAGAACCTGGCAGCAACGCAGGGCTTGGCTCACATGATAATGGAGTGCAACAGGCTCTTCCAGGTACGCCACTCACTGTCACCAAGCAAAAGCTCTGGGCATCCTGTGGGGGTGGCTGGCTTGGAGCAGCAGCTGGGCAATGTCCCTGCCAGCCCAGCCACAGCTCTGAGCCTGTGACAGATGGGAATCCTGCTGCTGCAGGAGAAAACGAGCATTGAGACCACTCCTCCATTCCCCCCTTTGGGCTTCACTCCATGGGCTTGGGGACAGCTTAGAGAGCACCTGTGGGCAGTGGCTGCCATGTGCCCTGGCAGGGAGGCCCTGGCCACCTCTGCTGGAGAGTGGGTTGAAGTTTTATTGCTGGGGCCTGGCCAGAGCAACAGCCATGCCTGTGCCTGGCCATTGACCCCAGTAATCTGAACCTGGACCTTGGCCCACAGACTGACTTCCCAGCTTGACCGCGGCCTTTGCCCGTCATTATGGACTTGCCTAGTGCTCCTTAGACTGTGGCTATCCCTGGTTGCTGTCCCTGGACCTGATCCTGACCTCCCTTGCTGCCTCACCTTCCTGGCTGCACCTCGGACCTCATCGCCGTGGATGTGTCTGATGATCCTTACTCTTGGCTGCCCCTCTGGCTCAGCTCCAGCAGTGTGGGACAGGGCAGCTGCCCTGCCAGCCCTGTTGTCCCACTTGACCCCTGGCTCCTTTCCCTCAGGGGTGCTGACCACACTCAGCTCAGACCCTCTAATCCTCTGCTCCACCTGCTCATCCAGGCAGGGGATGCTGCCCCATGGCTCCCCTGCTCTGACACATGGCCCTGCCCCAGGGCTCCCCCAGCACTGATTCCTCAACCAGTGCCTGGCTTCTGAGTGACACCCCACCCAGGACAGCTGAGCTTCCCAGGGGTCTGATCATGGCATCAGTCTCTAGCCCAGACAGGGCTCCTAAGTGCCCCTCTCACCCCCAGCCCAACCATGGGCCCCTGTTTCCCCAGCAGTGGGCTGAACCCCTCTGCCCAGCTCTGAGGTCCCTTGGGTGCCCTGACACCACTCCTGCCCTGTACCCTCTGGTCTGCCCTGGCAGCCCTGTTCTGGCTGCATGGCCCATGGAATAGCCCCATGGAACGCTGAGCTACCCATGGACACTCCACACACCCCTGCTATGACCACTGCTGACTCCAGCCCTGAGCTGTGGGGCTGCCCCTCACCCTGGGGTGCTGGGTCCTGCTGGTGTGACCCCCTCCCTGCCAGGGTAGGCACTGGGTGCTGAGACTCGGGGACTGCCTGGAGAGGGCTGTCCCCCTTCTGCTGGAGGCCACAGCTCAGTGTGGCAGCCCCTGCCACGCCTGTGCCTGGAGGAACACCCAGGTCTGCTGCTCTGGACCTGGACTGGTCACTGTGGCCACCACTGGACCACGGCCAACGCTGCCTCTGCCACTGAAGCTGAGCAGGACTCGGCGTCAGCACTGCCAGCCCAGGTAGGGCGGGAGGGGCCCTGGCTGGCCAGGCTGTGCCCCGGCCCCAGGGGCAGGGAGAGCTCCAGGGCACGGGTGTGGGTGCAGTGGGGACAGGGAGCACAGGTCTGTGACACGGCTGTCACCCTGCTGTCACTGTGGCACCAGCGCCAGGCCTGCTGGGTTTGTGGGCAGTGCTCAGTCACCAGGAGAGTGCATTTGCACAGGTCTGCACCTGCTGAAGTGCCAGCTGCTGCCCACCACATGAGGTGCTGGACACTGACCAGCTGTGAGAGCTGAGCCTTCCCCAGTGCTCTGGACATGGAAGAATCTGATACAGATCTCTTATCTTTATATATACATATATATATACACAAACATATGTACATACATGTATACACATGCATATGTCGGTGAGCACCTGCATCAATGCAACACCTTTTGTCCAGTGGTACCACAGCTGCATTTTTGTAATGCTTTAGGACTCTGGAAGATTTTTAGGAGAGCCTCCAGCAAACCCAAAGGCAAAGGCAGGAGCTGTGGCTCCTTGTAGTTGCCCACGATTGATATGCACTGCACAAAGAGGTTTGCAACTCTGTAGGGATTCAAAACATTGCTGCTGAGGGGAAAGGCATTTCCCTTGTGTTTTCTTCAGAGGGAATGTAGTTTAACTGATCTGCTCCTCCCCTGGGCTTCCTGCTCCTCCAGGTAAAACTGCTTCCTGCCTCCCCGCACCATCACAGATGACATCAAAGGCTGGGTGACCTGCTCATACCTGGCACCTAAGGTAAAGTAGATGGAAGGAGTATGGATCACAGTATTGTTGGTTCTGGGAGTGTGGGTGGGTGGAGGGTTTCCTGGAGGTACCTCTGGGTGTTCTGAGTTCATGGCTTTGGCTCCTGCACTGAGAACTGCTCTGAGCTGTGCTCACAGCCATTGTCTGCCTCTGTCTCTGCAGCTGCTGAAGCCACACTCCTTTTCTCTCCTTTTCCCTCCCCGCTTTGCTTTTTTTTCCCCTTACCACAACCCCACTCCAAGAGACAAGAGACAACTCCAATTGTTTAGTCCCTTTATTGTCATTCCACAGGGAACTGCTACATCCTCTGCACAGGCTTAATCCCCAGGATGTCGAATCCTTTGGCCATGACGGTGGCAGTGGCTTCGCACAGCAGCAGCCTCCACATGTTCACTTTCACAATTTGGCCTGGAAAACACAGACAGAGGAGCTGGAGTAGCTGCTCAGAACAGTATCTTCCCCAGGGGAAGCCCCTCCAGCCAAAACCAGGCTCTGGACTTCCACATGGAATCCTTCCTGCTCTCCCCAAGCCAGGCAGAGTGACCACCTCCCCTGTTTCCAGGTGCCTGGCTGCTCCCACCCCTACTCAACCTTCCTGCTCAGTCATAACACAGGCTCTGCCAGTCTCTGCCAATCCTCCCACATGGACACAGTAGTGTGACAACAGCCTTTCCAAGACAGGGAAATGGAGATGGATGTAACCACAGGATGTGACACAGGCACACTCAGCACCCCATGGCCAACACTCACCAGTCTGCCTGTCCTTCTCAACGCAGTAGCAGCTGTCGTAGAACTCAGTGAAGGTGGTGGCCAGCTCATACAGGTAGTCACAGAGTGTGTGCAATAACAAGTCCTCCAGGATCTTCTGCAGTATCTCAGGAAACCTCAGGATGCACTTGCCCAATTTCCACTCCTTCTCATGGTCAAGGACAAGCACCTCCTCCCTGGCTGCCTTCTGCAGCATCTGCTCATCGATGTTGGCCAGGCGAGCAATTGCCCTGGAACGGTACAAACCAGAATCTGCTTGTGAGGGTGCCACTGCCCAGCCTGCCCAGGGCCAGCCTGGTCACCTGTCTGGCCTGGTCAGGGCTGGTGGCCTCCCTTGCCCAGTCCTGGGTGACCAGGCCAAAGAGGACAGTCAGCCCTTGATCCAGGAGGGCACTGCAGAGGAACAGGGAGGGATGGGCTCTGGGCACCTGCATCAGCAATGACAGCTGATACTTCCAAGCAAACCAAGGCTCAGCATGCCAGAAAAACTGATGTGTGGCAATATGCGAGCTGAGCAGCTGCTGGAACACAGATGCATCCTTTTCCAACCACCTAAATCCTCTGCTTACCAGGAGCTGCCACAGTTCCCTCCCTGGGCTGTATGTCACACAGAGGAGCCGTTTCAGTTGGCACTGGACACACAGTGTGCAGGGACAAATGAAATCTTGTCTGTGATGCATACCAGTGTAGCTGGCTTCTCTTACCAAACACTCCCAACAGCACTGATGTGACTGTCACCCCTTTGCCCACATGTCCCTTTGTGACCCAGATGCAGAGAGCACCAGCACCAACTCCTGCAGCCACAGCACCCCACGCACCTGATCCGTGTGAAGGCATAGAGCAGATAGGCAGCTGTGTTCCCTCGGTCATCCAGCATCTTGTCAAAGGAGAACACGTAATCATTGAGTCTGTTGTGGGACAGATCTGCATATTTAATGCATCCAAAAGCCACCGACGTCTGGGCAGCTTTCAGCTCTTCTGGTGTCAGGACCTGGTGCAATTTCCAAACAGGCAACAGTCAAGAGGAAGAATGAAGCACAGTGACAGCCCTGGCCTCAGCAGGGCTCAGGAGGAGAGCCCAGGCTGCTGAGAGGATTTACCCACCTGGTGCTCAGTTCACACACACCTCTCTGCTTCAGGGCACCAGACAATCCCACACCGACCCCTCACTTCTGCAATCCACTGGCACCACAGCCCTGCCCAGGTTAGGGCTGACCCCCTCTTCTGACAGCCCACAGGACCTCTGTGCCCCACAACCTGCCACGTGCTCTGCTCCTGCTTCTTCATGTACACAGAATAAATGTTGGTCCTCTTACCCTTATGGAACATTTTGGTCAATCCAAACACTTACAAACCCCTCTCTGCTGGAACAGTGGCAGCAGGGCAAAGCACTTTGTGCCTGACTCCTGTTTTTTTTCCCTTGCTTCCTCATGTTCCTGTTTAAAAATGGACTTTTCACTTTCACCCTACACTACCCTTCCCAATTCCACTGCCTCACACTGTGCTTGGACAGAGTTTGGTCCTTCTGTCACATTCCATGTTCCACACTATCCAGTTCTCTGCAGGCAGCAAGACAGACAGAAATCTCATTAAGAAATGCAGAGGCCCTAAGTCTGTGAACACATCTGGGAAGCTCTCAGGAAAGACAAGCAATTTGTCACAACTACCTTGTCCCGTTCCTTGTCTTTCAGCTTGTCCATGGCTCGTTTCAGTCCTTCCTCCAGCAGGTCTATGAGACGCACCGTGTCCCCTGAACGAGTTTTGAACTTCTTCCTGAAAACACACAGCCAAAATGACCACCTGCAAAAAGGTAAAACATTTCCACCCTCTGCCTAGTGCCCAGCAAGCTTAGGAAAAAAGCACATGGCAAATCCTTTTGTATTAAAGGAATTGCCACCACATGGACAGCTCCAAAACTAAGACAGCACCCGCAGCGTGGGCAGCAGGAATGGCCAGGAAGGATTCAACAGTCAGAACTGTCCAGTTCCAAACATCAAGCTGCACACAATACCAGTACCAGACTTTTCCCAACTTTTGTTTCATCTACCATGAAGGAGGTAGAAAGTGATGAAAATCATGGCCTTTACCACTGCCATCTCCCAGTACCACATGAACTTCCAGCAGCCAATCCAAGTGCCCCTTGCCAAATACCAGGCAGCAGGAGCCAAGCTTGAGAGGGAACATGACCACAGCAGCAGTGACTGTGTGACTGTGTGGATCAAGGACAATGACAGTTACAGGTAACAGCACAGGAACCAGTCCTTTCTTTTGGGGTTTTCTTGGTGTGCCACATAAATACTTGTCAACGAATGAGAGCAGTACACCCAGACACTTACTTGTCTTCTCCCAGCACCACTCCAAAGGCAGCATGGGCCACTCTGGTGACTTTGGGATCATACCAGCCAATCATCTGTCCAGCTGCAAATACTGTTTGGAGATGCACAGACTGCAAGAAAATAAAACACCAACAACTGGTTCTCAATCCACTCCTCCAGGTGCAGTTTCTTCATAGCTTTATCCTAGTCACAATGATGCTCTCACAGTAAGACCTAAAGTATTTCCAGTTCCACAGACAAATTATGCTTTCAGAAATTCAACCTTTCCAAGAGTTTTCCAGCTCTACAGAAGCAGCAACTAGCAAATTCCCATCACTGCTCAGATAAGGAGTAAATACACCAATCACGCTGAAGACCCTGTGGTGTTCTGCCTGTGTTACTGCTGCATCCATCACTTCACACACTTTGTGCTGACCAGCACCAACAGTTACAGCAGAGGGTGCTGAACTCACCTGGCCACTGTCAACAACGTAGATAAGGATGTCACCCTTCTCTTCACACAGCCTGTGCTTCAGAGCAGCCAGGTCTGACGTGTCATACGTGAAACCTCCGTCTGATTTCATGATGGTCAGTGGGACAGGGAAACCCGGGACGAACACGACCTTCCGGCCATCATCAACCTGCACAAATCCTGACAAAGCAAGAAAAACCTCTGTGTTGAATCACACCAGGGAGGTTCTGGGCCAGCAGCAATACCTCCCCTCCCTGATGCTACCAAGAAGAAAAGGCCACACACTCACATAATCAAAAATATGAAAAGGCCTACATGAGAACTACCTTGTCAACACAAGTCCCATTCTGTACAGCACTTCCAGAACTAAACAGATCTGCACAAATGTGGCCTTATCAGGAAAGACCTAATTTAAAAACTCCCATCACTTGCATCCAGATCTGCCTGTACAGCCACAACCCCATCACAAAATACAGCATTGAAGACAACACAAACTCTACAGAGGACTCTGCACAGAGTCTTTCTGAGGTAAGACCGTCAGAATACTTCAGATGGCGAGACTCAGGAACTGCAAAATCCAGACAAGAACACATAAAACCAGAGTCTTCTTATGCTGCATTTGGCTTCTTGCCAGTTTCAAAGACAACATGATCCAAAAATCCCACTGTCTTCACAGAGATTTCTCAAAGTTCCCATACAGTCACAACACTAAGACTGGAAAGTCTGTCATATATTACTCCTTGACTGTTTACTCAGAATATAATAAATTCCAGTAGTACCCTGTGCTACTGCCTACAAATGTCACAGACAAACTGCTTTTGATGTCAGCAAGAAAGAATCAGGCTTTCTGGAATGAGGAAAAGCCACAAAATACCCCCCTGGGAAACGTGGCTGAGAAAAAAAGCAAATGTGGGGAAGATGCAACTTGAAAGCATCAGCCCTAAGCCCTGCTGAGTAGGATTGAGGCTACCATGCTCATACAGCTGCAGAACTTCTGACCCGAGACCAAAAGCCTCACCTTTATCTTCAAATTCTTTCACAATGTCTTTCATCATCTCATGGTAGAAGGACTCCCCTCTCTCTATGAGTGTGATGTCCAAACAGTTGTAGATTTTCTGGAATTCTTGAGAGAAACAGAACATAATACTTACATTAAAGGCACACAGTGGGAACCAGTGGCATGTTTAGCAGTGGCTACAGCAGGGTTGAAAAAGCATTATCCATTTCTTGGTCAAGGCATCAGGCTAGGACTCAGGAGACAAAAGATTGAGCTGAAAGTCTCCACTTAAGACAGCCCAGTGCTTTGGTTGTACTGCTTTTTTGCTTTCAGCTTCTCTTAGCAGTGTGGCAGTGATTTTCAAGGGAAAACAGAGGGTGTGCTCAGACATAAAGTGAGGAAAGCCACACTGTTCTACAGCTGAGACATGATTCCAGATGTGGCCAAGTCACCTCTGCGTGACACGTCACAGATGAGATTCCAGGCTTTAATGAAATCGGGGTTTTTGCTCTGCAGCAGCACCACACATTGGTAAGCTCTCTTCTTAAATTCCTCCTCTGTGTCAAACCTCTGCTTGGATTCCTGCAGGGAAACACATGGAAAAGCACTGCTTTCTCCCCTGAAACAAACCACCACTCCTAACAGGCTCTCCAAGTATGCCCATCTCAAGACAGAAAGGCTGTGTGCTTACAAAGGCCTTTGATCATGCCCCATACAGACAGTTCAATACCAGATGTCACAATTCATCACCTCGTGGCTGGTTATCACAGTAATCTACTAACAGTGACTTAATTCTTTCATTTATCCAAAATTACGTTGCAATTTGTAAAGCTTCTCAATCTGCTTTGCTACACATACCTTGTAAAAAGCTTGGAGATCCCCAATGGGAGGAGAAACACTTAAGTAATCTGGAAATTTGTCCTGGAGGTGAGCAATGAGCATTCCAAACTGGGTGCCCCAATCTCCTAAATGGTTCAACCTTGGAGCAATTGAAGAGGACAATAATAATAATCTCTTAAACATATGCTTTAAGATACACACATTTTTAAAATATATATTCTAAAAGAAACACATATAATACCAGAAGCCCAGCCCAGGCAAGCTCCCCAGTTTCACTGCACTGAAGCTGCTGCCCACCTTGATTCCTAACCTCGCTACATTTGTTCAGCTTAGAATCTACTACCCATAAAGGGTTATTTGCTATGTGCTTATAAACTCAGGCCAATACAGAGCAGAACAGGGAGACAAGGACTGTGCAAACAGCCCAGCAAGCCCACCACAGCCAGCCACTGAGCCTCACCTCAGAACATCATAGCCCACGAACTCGAAGAGCCGGCACATGCTCTCCCCGATGATGGTAGAGCGCAGGTGCCCAACGTGCATCTCCTTTGCAATGTTGGGGGAGGAAAAATCCACCACCACCTTGGGCACAGAACCAAAGGAACACATGAATAAAAGGCTGTTACCACACCTCGTGTGTTTGATCTGGGTTTTGTTAGGGGGAGGAGTGGGAACGAGAATCACCCCTGCTGACCCTCAGCAGGAACATCAGAGCGAGTGCTGCTGCAGCCCAGCTGAGGGTCAGGGATCACTCCCAGACTGACCTGGGCACATCCCCCACCCCCAGGGGGACTGCCAGAGTCCCTCAGCCACCAGAGACCACAGCAAAAACAAATGACCTACCCCATGGCCCCTGGTTCCTATGCCACATCCCACATACTCTGACATGGACATCTGTTCAGTACATCCCTTCAGGGGGGAATTTCAAAGATACTGTCCAGAACATCTCCCCTGTAGCAAGATGGCTGTGTGCTTATTGCTGTACCTTTTTCCTTTTGCCAATAGCTGGTGGTTGAACTCCATTGATCAATAAACTGCTCAGCTGCTTCGATACGAAATCCTTTCTCAAGTGGACATTGATAAAACCTTTGCAGGAAAAAAACAGCAGTGAGTGCTGCGGCTGCAGAAGTGCCTCAGAGCAGTTTTTGTTCCCTTCCCCCCTGGATTTCTGTTTTCATGCAGCAAGCAAAAGAGCACATGAAGTCAGCTTATCAAAATATTTTTTTTGTCACAGGGGAGCAAAGTTGTCACTTGAAGGCAATTTCTGTTCCCAGATTTAGAAGAGTCTGTTCACATCACTGTAGCCTTTACTGCAGGAGTCAGATGCTGCAAGCTACACCATTGACATAACTCCTTTTTGTATACAGTCACTCAACAATCAATTTATAGAAACAATTTTTTGTGAGAAAAAAAAATAATTTGGTTTCCAGAATGCAAAACCAAATCCTGCTTTATAATTTTAAAAAATTAATATCCTAAAACATATAGTTTCATCTGGGATAATTTATGCTCATGGTAAGACACGTCTGTCTTACTTCTCCTGCTTCACAGAGCCAATGAACAAGCCCTAGCCCTAAAAGGGCTGTGCCATGGGATTTTTGTGTTTATGCTGAAGCCCTAAGGAATAGGAGCCCTTGTATTTTTCCCTGGGACAAAACAAATGCAGCAATTAATAACCTCCATGCTACTCCAGCTTCTCAGTTTTGAGAGGACAAGGTCTCCTCACCATGCAAGCAACAGCGAGAAGGGCTGTCCATTTTTGCTGTGATTTCATGACTGTGGCTTGATCCCCATCACCAATATTGAAAGAGGAAAAGCTGCTCCCTTAAGGATCAGTGGAAAAATTGCTAATTAAAGGGCTCATGATCATACCTGCCAATTCTAATACAGAAGTAGATTTTCTGCTGCTGGACAGTCTGAGTGCTACAAAGCTCACCAAGACAGAAGAAGCTAATTCACTATGAAACTGCAGTTTTAAAACATAAAACAGTAGAACTCAACTCAGCTTCTCTCTCAAAATATAAGTGCCCCTTTTGCTTTGAGATATACAAAGTGTGTAAAATGGAACTATCTTACCAGGACCAGCAATTTCGACCTTCTCAATGCACTCATTGGCAGGAATACTTTTTACTATTTTCTCCGCGATTTCTCGTGGGCTAACCTTCTGTTCCCTGGTTTTGAGCAGTATCTGGAACACAACAAAGATCAGGTAAAATTCAGTCCTCTGAAGCATTCCAGAGGGCAAAACAGAGAGCACAGGTACTGAAGCACTGAAACATCCTCATGGTCCTTCAGCTTCATAATGCAGAGATACACACAAAGAGAAACACCTCTAGCAAATTTTACAGATTAGATCAGTTCTCCCCAGTACAAGCCTGACTGGACCCAACACGTTCACCTCCTTCTGCTCAGAGGAGTCTCTATGTCAGAAGAAAATCTCACAGACTATTTTTCAAAACCTGCTAAGCGGTTTGGCAAATTTGTATTTTTCTAAGCTAGTAAAACAGACAAACCCTTTAAAAATCAACATAGCTGGCACAGTCCTTCAGTGCTTCACAATCCTGTTGATCAGTCTCGTGGGTGTCCTCAGCTCTGCCAGCATTCACATTTGAAGCTCTGAACTGTGCCTCCAGCAGATGCTGAGTGTGGTTTCAGAGCAGGTCTGTTTATTTATGATTAAACACAACCAAAGCAAACTGCCTTCAGTCCTGTCTTAGTCTCAAACTTAATAAATAAATAAGTGAATAGATTAATAAGTGAATAAATAAATAAAATCCAACAACCCAAGGAAACAAAGATAATCCCAACAGTACTCAATTTTCTTCAAAGAGCATCAGAAAAACTGCTGTTAAAGTAGCTCTCCTTTTCCTTGGAGACATGAGCAGCCCACTGTGAGGAACTCAAAGAACAGGACACAAGTTTACATACAATGATAGTATCAGAGTGGTTTGAGTTGGAACAGAACTTTGAAGATCACCTAGTCCAACTACACAACTTCCCTGTCCATTCCCAAACCATCTCCTCACACAGCTTTATGCAAATCTTACAAAAACACCCTTTAGGAGGATTCTGTTAGCTAGCCCAACCCATCCCTTGCAAAACACTACATTCACATTTGTATAAAATTACCACAAGTATTTGTTTCTGAGCATATGATTTTCCAGTATTATTGTGATGTGTTTGAAAACAAGTCCACTGAGGCCACAGAGATGATATATCTTTTTGTCAACTCAGAATTTACATTCACTGCTTTTATTTGCTGCTTTTATTTGCTAATTTACTGTCTGCTCTAAAATGTATTTCTACTAAAGTTTCAGTTTTCTGGTTAACCTGTCATACACAGGATTTTTACATGACAGTAAAGGCTTAAAAAGGGCAAAAGAAAAGCAAACCTCAGTAGCTTTAGTGTTACCCAAAGTGTAAACTACAGGAAAAAATAAATGCAAACCCAGATTATGGGCACGTTTCACCAGATTACAGGCATGTTATGTGAACCATTCCAGAAATGGTCACCACACTCCTGTTGGAGCTCCTGGCTGAAATCCCAAGCATTAATATGCTAATGAGCTCCCAGGAAAACAACAGGCATTTGTGAGGGTCCTTTCCACATCAGTGAGCCTGCAGGGAGAGGCTGCTGCCTGGCACGTACCAGTGCTGCCCCAGTCAGGGCACTTCCCACTCTGCTGGCAGTCCCAGTGACCCTACCCGTGTTCCAGCTCTGCCCAGGGGACACCCTGGGAAGGCCTGCACCACAGCCAAGCTCCTAAAACAGGCTGACAGAAAGTCCCCAAGCTGCTCTCATCCCCTGGCTCTGCCATGCTGACACACTGCATGTGTGAGCACAGCCGAACTCCAGCCAGTGCACAGCCTGCCTGCCCAGGGAACAAACCCCACAGCCAAGCCCAGCACTAGGAACCCTTTTCAGCACCACAGCTGACAAGCTGGAACTCCAAACCCTGGCAGAAGGGGACTGTTCAGACACTGCTGTGTGAACCACGTCGGTGCTGGGAAGCCTGGCCTGCTCGAGAATCCCAGCCGCGACTTAATTGGGGTAACGCGGCGGTCAGAGGAGTGGCAGCGCCCTGAATCCCTGTCAGCGCAGTCACCCCGGGCAGCAGCACAGTGACAGGATGCTAATGAGACCGAGGGGACACACGGGCCCTGGGAGGGCAGTTCTGCCTGGCACTGCAGCCCAGAGCCTGCTGCCTGGCACGTATCGTACCCCTGCTGCCCCAGGCACGCTCACTGCACGGGGACAACCTGGCACAGCAGAGCTCCACGAGTGGCAGTGCAAGTTCAGCATCAAAACTGCCACTCTAATGGGTTAATAAGGGTGAGCTGACAATAGAAGGTGTAAAAAAAGGAGTTGTTTCTGTTCAGATTGCCAAATAAAAGATCTGTAATTACAAAGTGTCTACTTAGTCACCCACAGGCATCACTGAAAGTTAGGGCACTTCAGCACCTAAGCTAGAACACACTACCTTCCTTCTCCCACACCTCCTGGGTTTACTTCAGCACAGTCCCAGCCCACTGAGAAGGCTGAGCAACTGCTGAAGTGTCTCTGATTCTATTTGTGTCCTCTTTGGTCAAACTCCCTGTACCCAGGGAACTTACAAGAGATGTTAAACAAAGGACTGAGCCAAAGGAGTATGAAGGGCAGTGCCTGAGCAGCAATCCACACCTGGCTGGGCTCTGAGAAGGAGCTTCCTGAGCACACCCAGGCCTGACAATGCTCAGTGCCTTCTGGCTGGAGCTCAGAGAGGGCAGTTTGGGATGTAAGACACAGGGATTCAAACCCAACAGAGCACACAGGGCAGCACCAGGGCCCCTCTGCTCTGCCATGTGTGTCTGAGAGAAGGAGGAACCCACAGCAATGGGAAGTGTGAGCCAAGAAGGAAAACTGGAGATGCCCCTTTGTCACCTGCCATGTGAGAAGGGGGTATGTGCACACAAATGTGTCGGGATATTACACTTTCCTGTAACTAAAGAGCAGTTAGAGATATGCAGGTGTTTCTCAACATTTTGCAATTCCCCAGAATTGTGATTTATTGTTTGCTGTTTTCAGTTCCAAATATACAACTCACTAATTGGTAGTTAATTGCACATCATTAGTAAATCGATGCAGCACTTAAATCCTGATTTAATTTAGATCCCATGAACCGAGCAGTTTTTCTGTGCCACAGACATTAACTCTCTCATACCAGGCACCTGAACAGAGGTTTAAAGGCCAGCTCTGTAAAGGCCAATGCTTCCCTTAAAATGCCATTCCATACTCACTCAATTCTCAGCCCAGATGCTTGCAGCAAGCCCAGAAAAAGTTCCATACTGCAACTCTCACTGTGCTGTCTATCCCTTGGCTTCCAACAGACAACATCCCCATTTTTGCTTCTTTCTTGAGACTGTTTATATCATTTACCTGTGATATGCCCATGGCACTGTTACACTGGTAGTCCCCAAATTTGGGCTGCTGACTTGGTGTCACCACCAGAGGAGGGTTTTCTAAGTCTGGGTAGGCAGCCTGAATGGCAGCTCCAAAGATCTCCTGGAGACAGCTGTTGATATTAATCATGCTTTTGGTTGATTTGCTTCTTTCCTCTTGAAGGCTCTAAAAAAAGAAAACCAAAATCCAGAAGGCTTAATTCACAACATCTGAGGAGCTGTTACATCCCACTTGTCTCCTTGGCTGCCTCGCAAAGCACAGCTGACAGATCTGGCTGACACCTCCAGGCACAGGAGCAATGCATACAACATTAAAATCACATGATCCTCCTGCAGAACCTCCCAGCACAAACCTTCCCCTGACTGCAGGGCTGCATTACTTCTCACACCTGTGCTGGTGAGCCTGGGACACACCTCAGCTGGGCCACCTGGCTGAAAACTGCCCCAGACATGACCATGTGGGCTCACTGACCTACTGACACCTTCCATAAAACAGGTTTCTGTTTAAGGAACCAAGAAATATCTGATGTGCCACCAATTAAGGTGTCAGAATGCAGAGCAAGCATGCTGTCACACATCAGAACTGTAACAAACTCACACTATTTATTTAGCTTGTCCTAATGACAACAAAAACCACAAGATACAGCAATGATATTTTATCTCCTTACCTTCTTAAGGAAGTTTAACCGATACTTGAGTTTTGCGTTTTCGTCTCGCAGCCCTTCCAAACTCGGGGAGACTCCCAAGCACCCAAAGTTCTTCAGACGCTCAATTTCTGCAGTTAACAACTTGATCTCGTTTTCCTGAAAAGAAAATTGAGCTGTCACACAGTAATTCCTGGAGAGGGGACAGGAGGTGAGGAGCTGCAAGATCTCAGGCACCGTGTAAAGGTAACAGAACAGTGACATGTAGGCTGAATAATTCCAAACAATTAATACTTGAAGATTGTTTCTACTTGTGTGAAAAACAAGGATTCTGAAACACTCTTTAAAAAAGGCAGTGAGAAAATAGTCTCACTAATATCAAGACAGAAGTACAAGAAAGACAACAGGACATGCTAATGAGGTATTCTCCAATAAGCACTTTCTCCAGCTTTTTAAACAAAGATATCAAATGTTTTGACTCAAAATTTCCTTAAGCTTCCTTTAGCCTGTTTCATCATCTCAGAAGCCACAGCTTCAGAGGAAACCATGACTACTACACAATCCCAGCAAGCTCAAACCCCACCTAGAGACAGGAATGCCAGAAGTAGTGTGCTGCTCCACAGGGGCATTTCGGCAGGGTGCACTCACTTCCACCTGGCCACACAACCTTTCCTGCCCTGTCCAGGAAGGAAATGTATGTCTTCTCCCTTAAAAATAACACAAGGCATTCAGGAGCATTGGCAATTTCAGGAGGGCCTCTATGTTCCAAACACACTTCCCTGTGTCCCACCAGACTTCACAGCCCCAACTCAGATAAATTTGTCAGCAGCAAAGTGGTTCAAAGATTCTTCAAGGAGCAGGAATTTTCCTCACCCTACACCCTAAAGAAACCAAATAGCTGAAGTTTTATCTCTGTTGTCTATCTCTTGTCCTCCCCATAATAGGCTTTGTGCCCTGAGCCACAAAGCTGGCTCTGACACAGAATCCTGGAGGCTACTGAGGGTCTGAGGGACTTGGTGCTGCTCTGGAGGGAGCAGTGAGCACTGCCCACCCTGGCTCATCACCCCCCTGGCTCCCTCGTCCAGGCTCTCCCCTGCCAGCCCTTCCACAGCAGGATGCAGCTCAGGCTATTATTGTAGACCACCAAACCTTATCAAAAAGGGCTCATTTACTCTGCTGCTCTTCAAACAATCAGACTATTTAATTAGGGAAAAAACTGGGCCATTGAATCTCTTGGTCTTGTATGTCCACCTGAGCAGCAGCTCCCAGGAATGCTGCTGTAACTAACTGCACATGCCCAAAAACCTAGGCTGAGGCAAAGAAATCTTAAGATTGGCCTATTTGTGGGCCAAGCTGAAAATCAGTACTTTTGAGGTCATTCTTCAGTTGTGCCTCAGTTTGTAGCACTCTTCTGTTAGAACCTCAAGGTCTCCTCTGCTACAGAGGCAAACACAATGCTGCTTCCTGCAGGTTGGATGTGAAGAAAAGGGACTTTGAGGAAATAGCCCAAACCTTTATCAAATCCTCTGGTTTGGCATTTACACAACTAAAATCACTGAACAGCACAGCTGTACCTTATAAGCAACTCACTTCAAATAGTCCAATTTCAGCTTTTCTTTTCAAAACCCAAGGCGGGTGTCCCAAAATCAGTTTTTCTCTCATTTACATACATACACAAGCCTACCCCCATAAGCAACAGCAAATAGATTTGTTTATTTTCAACTTTTCTTCCTGGCCTGATTTGGTAGCATTTCACATAATTTACAGACCCATTTGTAAAATATTCTGTGCTTCAAGTTAAAAAATAGCACAAGAGATTTCACTGTATTTTCACAGCTGTGCCACTGTAAGTTTCAGTGCAATTATTGCTATAAACACCAGAGCAGTGACATACATAACTCATCCCCCCAAGCCTAGCATGTTAAACATAAGTGCAAAGAGATCTTCAACCCTAATACCATATAATCTGTAAATTCTGTGTCCACACTGTATTATCTTCCCTCTAGTGAAGTCACCAGCTTCAGGACAGGCCTCCAAGACCCCAAGGAGAGTTCTGCATCGAAGGCAAACATTCTCCAGAACTAGAAAAACACATTCTGCTTTTGAAACTAAAATCCCTGCATGTCCAAGACAACAAACAGCTCACAAGTATTCCTCCTGCATTAAAAGATTCCCCCAAGCTATAACTGGGATATTTCAGTACCAGTGACAAGCTTTACTGAACAGGAATCTGAGCTGGCTTTTCCTACATAATCACAAACACCTTCCCAAGGGAAGACTCACAGGTGAGATGACCAGTAACCTACTGGAGCTTCTTTCCATACTGTTACACTACGAGTGAGGACAAGGAGAGAAGTTTATCCATGTGCATGGTCAGAAGCCAGAACCATAGTGCCCAGGAATCACTGACCCCTGGGCAGACAACTGGCCCAAAGAGCTCTTTTACAGGGTGACTAATCACTTGGATTTGGCCAGAAGATAAAAACCTCTAAAACACTGCCACAATTCAGCAAGTATCAAAACAGCAAATTCACAGCCCTGGCACCTGGAGGGATTTGGGATGGCCCCATTTCAGATGTGACCAAGCCCAGCCTGCCACCCCAGACTGCCACATTTGTCTCCTGTTTAGTGCTCCTCTTCTTCAGAAATTTCCAGCAGAAGTCCTTATGTTGTTACTCGAGTGTGAACTGAGAACAAAAAGTTTCACCATGGTGGCTCAGCTGCCTACCCCAGTGCTGCTGCTACCATTTCAGTCTCTCTTTTATTGTGCTCATCAACAGCTTATACAGATGATGAAATGAAGTTTTCATTCAAAAGGACCCAGCAGAAAAGCCTGAACTCAGCAAAGCTTACACTGGGTTCCAGAACTGATGGGGCTGAGATCCCAGCTGGGCTGGGACAGGAGCTTTCATCTCCAAACTGGCAATGGGTTCAAGGAATGAACCCTGTCAGGGTTCAAGGAGCATCTGCAATATGCTCTTAACAATATGGTTTAGTTTTAGGTAGTCCTGTGAGGAGTGGGGAGGTGAACTTGATGATCCATGTACTTGATGGTCCCTTCCAACCTGAGGTATGCTATCAGTCTGTGACCCCCACATTCATAACCATGTTGCTGAGCTCGCCTGGAAAAAAGGTCCTCAGATATTTACATCAGAAATGCCTGTTACCACAGGACCCTGTGGTAATCTAGCAAACATTTGTGAATGCTAGATGTTATTGAAATGACATTATGAATGCTACATTCTTCCTAAAAAACAAACTACTCTACAAAACTACAGATAAGACTTGTAACAATTCCTCTCATGGTACCATCCAAGTGAGGAAGGGAGACACTGGCAATACACCTCTGATAGAAAAAATGTGAAACTGAGAAAAGGAAGGAAAAAGCTGCTGTTTCAGGTCACAAGTGCCACCTCCTGGTTTATTCTACCTGCACTGTCTAGCACAACTTGTCAGTAAAGGGTCATACCTGATGACCACCTCATGAGGAGCTGTGGGAATTACATGAGGGCATGCTGACATCTCCAAGGACTCTGCTCAGCTGAGTACTAGAAATCTTCCCCTCACCTGTGAATACAAAAAAACTACAGCTTTTTCGAAGGACCAAAATCATCTTTACATTCTCCCTTAGCACGTAAGACTGTCTTCCAAGAACTCTACTTGAGCAGGTGGGTAACATGAAACTTGCACAGGCTTCTGTGTCTGGGTTTTAATATGACAGAGCTTTTCTCCATCAAAAGAAAAAAATCACACAGGAGAGAAAATTACCTGAGAGAGCACGGCAAAGAGAGAAGAGCACCCCTCTTCCTTCCCCTCTTTGCCTCCTGCTCAGTTTTATCTCTACTGCTACTCTGCCAAGCCCTGCTGAGCACACACTGCTTGCTCTTTGTTGGGTTATTTTCCTGCAGGCTGGATCCCCATAGGCTCCAGGGCATGCTGCAGCTGGAAACAGGGAGCATGTGGCTGGGAGTGACAGGCAGAGTGAGGCTCAGTAATTCTGCATGGCCTCCTGCAGCCTCCTGGAGCTGGAGCTGAACACTCCTGCTCTGCTTCCAGTGCCTGGAACCTGCTTATGGCCTACAGACCAAACAGCAGTGACAGCAAAAGGAGAGACACCTTGCCAGAATACCTGAGATGTCCTTCCTCTCCCAGCAGCAACAAAGGAGAAAGGAAAACTCAAAGGCAAGAAGGAGTTGCAGAGATTCAACCGCCAGCTTTATTATCTCAGTGCATGTCATGTATTTAAGTTGTGAGCAGGAAACACACCCAAAAATTGCTCAAAAGCACACAAGTATGGCAGGCAAAAACCCAAAGGCCAAGGTCCAGAAGCTGACAGCTGCTGCTCCTGAGGCAATGGGCAAAGTATGAGCAGTGACCCTGGAGGAGTCAAAGCCTTAGGACAGCCCTGGCAGCTCTATTTCCCATCACTATCCCCACTGAAAAGGCAGAGGGTTGCCACTGTCTTTTCCCAAGCTAAGCACCTTGTGCTGCAGCAAAGCTGTTCGAGGAGAACAGCGCAGGAGGCGCATCCCGCCCTGGCTGCCCGGCCAGAGCAGCCACAGCACGGCACCGGGCCGGGCACCGGGACAGGCACCGGGATAGGCACCGGGACAGGTACCGAGACAGGTACCGAGACAGGTACCGGGACAGGCACCGGGACAGGCACCGGGACAGGCACCGGGACAGGCACCGGGACAGGTAGCGGGACAGGCACCGGGATAGGCACCGGGCCGGGCACCGGGACAGGCACCGGGACAGGCACCGGGACAGGCACCGGGACAGGTAGCGGGACAGGCACCGGGACAGGCACCGGGACGGGCACCGGGCCGGGCACCGGGACAGGCACCGGGACAGGCACCGGGCCGGGCACCGGGACGGGCACCGGGACAGGCACCGGGACAGGCACCGGGACAGGCACCGGGCCGGGCACCGGGATGGGCACCGGGATGGGCACCGGGATAGGCACCGGGACAGGCACCGGGACAGGCACCGGGCCGGGTACCGGGACAGGCACCGGGCCGGGCACCGGGCCGTGCGGGGCCACTGCTCTGGGAAGCTTCTTCGGAACACTCCCGCGATCCGCCCAGGCTGTGAGACGGGGCAGCGCTGCCCTCAGCCCCGGCAGAGCCGGGAGCAGCCCGGGAGCGCCTCAGCCCTGCCCGCTCTCCGCCTTCCCTTCCCAGACCCCCGGGGCTCGCCCGCCACCTGCGCCCCGCGGAGCCCCGCGGCTGTGCCGGTCGGGGCTGTCCCGCCCGGCCCGGCCCGTGCCCGGCTGTCCCGCCCCGCCCGGCCCGTGCCCGGCTGTCCCGGCCCGCCCGGCCCGGCCCGGCTGTCCCGCCCCGCCCGGCCCGTGCCCGGCTGTCCCGCCCCGGCCCGGCCCGTGCCCGGCTGTCCCGGCCCGGCCCGGCCCGGCCCGGCTGTCCCGCCCCGCCCGGCCCCGCACCTGCCGCGCCAGCCTCGCCGCGGACTGCGCCACGCGCGCCTCCATCCTCGGGCGGCCGGAACCGGGAGCGGCGCCGCGGGAAGCGGAACGCGGCCGGAGCGGCGCGGCCGCGGCAGCAGCGCCCCCGGGCGGCGGGAGGACCCCGGCGGGACCCGGAGCGCTGCCCGGGGAGCGGGGGCGGGCACGGACACCGCGGCGTGAGGGGAACGGGGACGGGCATGGATGGGGAACGGGCAGGGGGAACGGGAACGGGCATGGATGGGGAACGGGAACGAGGAACGGGAACGGGCATGGATGGGGAACGGGAACG